GGATAGAGGCGGTCCACCGATCACTTGTCAGCTGTTTTTCCCCGCCGAATTCTCAGACGCATATTGTTCTTTCTCTGACTTGAAGTATTTCGTTTTCGATGGAAATCGGGTATTGAAAATGACGTGATTAGGTGGAAAATGGCATACATTTGAGTGCTATATTTAAATGTATACGGCAACCACCTGGGAACAGGGCCTCAGGTGGTGGGGCATATAAATAAATGGGCCGCAAATTGCCAAGACACAAATTATGGATGTCTGGCGGCATTTCGCTCACACCCACTCAAAAAAAAGGGGGAAGAGGCGGGAAAATAATTATTTCATGGAAAACCACTTTCGAACACCTTCGGCCACCTTGGCAGCAAGAAGAATTCCGCTTAATTGCCGCAAAAACATTTTGATGTACTGCTCCCCGAGGAGAAGACGATGGGAATTGGCAGCTAAGGAGGCGCAACAGGTTGCAGATTTCGTTGGCGGGGGCGGATGGCAGATGTTTAGCTAGGGTATTTCGGGGGAGATTTTCACCCACATTTCCCTCAGATCCGAAATAAAATATATGTAAATCACGCGGCTGGCCTCAGGCAAAACACAGAGAACGCTAGAGAAACAAACAAAACGGAAAGCAAGAGCAAATTTCGAACCCAAACAGCCGCCGCAGTATTGCACATGACCTCCTCAAGAGTGGAAAAACCGCTTGGATCCACCGATCTTAATCCCTCTTGAAGGGGATTTCCTCCCCAGATTCTTCAATGAGTTTGGTTTTTCAGACCATTTTTTGGGGGCAGAAAAATAAAAGGAGAAAACTTTCCCGTGATAAACAAGCGATCGAGAGCGATGAGGCATATATATAATTTGATGTCGCTCCACAGAAAAAAATTCATAATAAAGTTATAATAAAAAAAAAAAACTTAATAAATCAAGTCAAATTTTAAGATAAAAATATTTTCTTAAATTGCTTCCTAGAATTCTAGCTAAAAATTTTAAGCACCGAGAAATTATATTTACTTAATAATGTACAAAACTTTGTCAAATGCCAAGGTCCCAAACACATTGGTATCATTCATCTCTGTGTATCCCGAGTACAGTAAACTCTCACAGTTGGAGAACTCACCTATATAGCAGACCAAAACCCACCTGACTTTCGGATGCGCCAATTATGTGCGAGATTAATCAATGCCAAGACAACATGAACAAATTAAGCGCACTCATTTCGACATCAATTTATTTGACCACGCAAAGAGGCGAAGATGGCGGGCACCACGAGACCCACCAGATTCACCAGCAAATCAGCACCACCGAACCACAAACAGAAGCCAACAAGTGCCAGAATCCGAGTCAGAATGGGAATCAGAATGCAATATGCAGTATGCAATGACGTTAATCATACGCCCCGTGGGCTCTGCTCACCCTCAACCATGTGCGATAATTCCCATTCGGCAATGATGATGATGCAGACGACTTTGGCTCACATCGCATACTCTGAGTGTGGCCTCTCGACTCTGTCCTTAATTATAAATTGATGCATTTTCAAATAAACAAACAAGAATTATGGCGTAGGAAAGATCTACGATAGGTGGGATGATAGATGGCAGCGATCGCACTATGGCTATGCGTTCCCAAGGGGGCTTTTCATTTCGAAAAATTCGATTATTGGTGAATTTTTGTGCATTTTCAGAGACATAATGAACCACTAATTTGAAAAGGAAAGCTAAAAGTTTCCTAATTAGTGGGGTAACTATTTGAAATGATTCTTTCACACCACATTAAGAACTATAAAATGGGGCTGGATTGAAAAAGGGGGTATGAGTCTGTATAGATTGCTTTTTTAATAGTTAAGATGTAAATTAAATTCAAAGCGATATATACCTGAAATGCTACGGAATATTTTGAGTTTCCCGTATACATATATTTATAGTTAAACTTTGACGATGTTGTGGTCTATTTTAGCTAGGTAATGACGCACCAAGTGCGCATTAAGCAGGTTCCTACAATTTCGTCATGCCGTTTTCATCATAGAAATTCCCCCATGTCTTGCAGGCATTTCACCATCTCTGCAACACAATGACGAAGGACCAGCAGGCCACGCCCATTCCCGAGGAGCTGTACAATCTCACCCAGCTGGCGGAGGTCACTCTGGCGGCGGGTCCTTTAATTACAGCAGAGGCGAAGCCAGTACCCAATGGTGGTGCCAGTCTCTATGCCTCCTCGGATGACGAGTCCAACTATTACAGCCACAAGGTGTTCGATCGCAGGAAATCGCGCCGCTGCACCATCTCCGACTCGAATTCCTGCACCAGCAGCAGTTCCAGTTCCACATCCAGTCTGCAATCCACGGAGGACCACCACCTGGGACTCCAGGGGCATTCGGCAGAGCACCACCATGCGGAGCAGGGCGAGATCCTCAACACCACTTCGCTGCTGGAGGACGAGCACATCTGCCCCGAGTGCGGCAAGAAATATTCCACATCCTCCAATCTAGCTCGTCATAGACAAACCCACAGGTAAATGTTAGGATAAATAGTATGTGTGATTCTCTGAAATGCTGACTTGTCTCACTGAAAAAACTAAAATGTATGGTTCCTTCTGTGAAATTGAATACATGAATCCACAATGTATCTTCCTTAAAATTTCGAAGAATTCCTTTGTATGATTTTATATTATTAGAATATAGTTAGTTTAATATTATTGTGAAATGTGTTAAAGCTAGATTTCTATTCCCATCAGGTCGATCATGGACAAGAAGGCGCGTCATTGTCCCTATTGCGAGAAGGTGTACGTTTCGATGCCCGCGTACTCGATGCATGTGAGGACCCACAACCAGGGCTGCGAGTGCCCGACCTGCGGCAAGTGCTTCTCGAGACCGTGGCTCCTCCAGGGCCACATCCGCACCCACACCGGCGAGAAGCCCTTCAAGTGCAGCGTTTGCGAGAAGGCCTTCGCCGACAAGAGCAACCTGCGTGCCCACATCCAGACGCACTCGAACACCAAGCCACATACCTGCGCCCGTTGCGGCAAGGCCTTTGCCCTCAAGTCATACTTGTACAAGCACGAGGAGTCCTCCTGCATGAAGAACCGTGCTGGGGTCTCGGGATCTGGCACGGGCATGGGCTCTACCTCCAGTAACCGACCTCACACATCGCCCAAGCGGCAGCAGTTGGAGGTGGGCAGCGGTTCCAGTTTGGCATTGGGTCCTGGATCACCTGCTATTGTGGTGAGTTACCAAATCTGTGCTATTAAGCCTTAATATAGGAAAGCTCAAAACGAGAATTCTTCAGTCTCACGTGATTATAACATGTCAGAGTTAATCACAAAAAGTTAACCTTTATTATCTTAATTTTTTCTTTTAGTGTGCTGCTCCTGATTCGGCAAAATCCACTCTGGCCAACAAGCTGCTGCAGAAGGAAAAGGAGCGTAGACAGGCGGCCCTGGCCTTCCAGGGATATCCAACTGGACCAGAAGTAGCTCCATACAGCCAGGTTGCAGCTGCCTTGGAGGAGATTGAGAAGTTCAAGCGGATCAACGTGATCCAGCCCACGGTGCTGCCCCATAGGATACCCAGCCTCTACCATGACCTACCCACCTTGCCCTTGTCCATGGCCTATCACTTTCAGCCCCAGAACACGGGCTCTCAAGGGGTGGGAGCCATGGCCATCAGCACCTCCACGCAGGAACAGCCCGTTGACTTTTCGCCCAAGAACAACTTTACACACTCGGCCAAGACGAGCCCCTTCGAGCTGACTGGGAACTACGCCATGGTGGCGTAGGCGATCATCGCCCAGGACACCAAGCAAAAGACACCGGAGAGAGCAAGAGCACTACCTACACCAATTCGAGGAGACCCTTTTTAAAATCCCACAAAAACTAAAACCAAATCCAACCAAAGCCCACCCCGAAAACCAGGACCTTTTCTTACTGTAGTCAACGAATATGTGATAAAAATGCAAAAGAGCTAAAGTACCATTAGAGAGTAGACGATTCCAGAAAGCTTATCGAACAGAAGAGTTCTCTCTTCTCTTCTCCAAAAAGAACCCCAAAAGAGACGGGGTTATATACACAGTAGTTATATAGAGAGACAAGGTTGGATCGATCCCCGATTGATCGTTTGATCTTCACTTACTTGTAATAAGAGACTTCTTAGAGACTTGCCAAGAACAGCGACAAAAAACCAATGTAACCAGTATTTTTTATAGCACATACGATCATCGATCAAAGAGCGAGAGATAGAGATATAGCATCCCAAACACGATCGAACAACGCAGCAAAGCTACAAACTTTACACATAGTCATCTAGCATTATGATTTACAAAGAACTAGGCATAACCAAAGATATTTCTGAATCTGAAACACACTTACTAACCCCCATTAATCACTTTGCATTAAGGCATCGATCGACTTCCTGCTTCCGGCACGGAAGTTGGTCCAAAACGAGAGAATTTCTAGTCTTTTTCTTTAAATTCAGCGCACATTTGGCGAAACAACACATTTGTGCGTGGCGTTATTTTAAGCACTTTACGGCCGCATGTGGTGCAATAATTGACATAACTGTAACACTAATTAGCGTCTACCACATACACACTATCACTATCATGTAGAAATCTGTATATTTTAATTTTATTTTGTATCGTTTCGGAAAGGTGGCATATTTTATTGTAGCACTTACCATCTAGTTATCGAGAGACAGACACCCACTGCATTTCGTAAGCTCCGACTCGACCTACAGCTAATCGCACCAAAGATATTTCGATTTAGATGCAGACGCATACTACCTTTATATACTCGTACTTACCATATACACCAAAAGATATATATATACACGTATACGTAGCTCTTAAACTGTATTATAGATTTGCACTTTAATTTGAATTAAATGAGAGATCCATAGATCCCACAAAAAATAAAAATCGATTTCGTTTTTCCTTGGAACTGGAAAGGAAATTCACAGACAGACCCAATTTAAGGTCCTGGATCAACTAGCCACTACTTATGAGTTTTTTGTTAGAACATTTTATTAAATTTTAGCTGCCAAAGCGGTGGAAAAAAAGATTCGAAAATAACATATTCGACGACTGGAAATTTTGGAGAGCCATCAGTGTGAGGCTTACTAATCTGATGTCCCTAATTATGAGTTTAATTGTGGGAGCCAAAAAACGAGAAACGAAAACGTAGAACGGAAAAAACAAAATGGTTGAGGTGCTGTTAGGATTTCTTCTTTGGGGAATCGCTTTCGCGAAGGCCGAAACCCAGGCCCAATCGCGAGGCCGAGGTGCCGGAAGATCCCTGAGAGAAGGGAGTGACCACTTTCAGGACCGGTTGGTCCTTGATGTCGCCCACTGTTTCCACAGGGGTCTTCCGCTTGCCCCCGCAACGCACCACCAGGTCCTCGTAGCTTTTGTTGTGAAGCAGGCACACCAGGATCACGGTCATATTGTCACCACCCAGACCGTTCGAGTTGCTATCCGGAGCCAGACAGTTGTTCATCAGCTCCTCGCAAATGGCCTCCGGTTCGAGGCCATCGCCAATGCGCCTGCGCACAAACTGGCCGACCTCCGAGCTGGTCATCACATCCCAAATGCCATCGCAGGCGAGGAGCACGAATTCCCAGTCCTCGGTAATGTCACGGACCTCCACATCTGGATTGGCCGTCACGATCTGCTCCTCGGGACCCTTATGAGAGTTCTTCTTGTAGATGAAGTCGCCGAGGGCGCGGGAAAGGGCCAGATTGCCATTTACCCGGTTGAACTCCACCCAACCGCCGCCGGCCAGGATGCGCTTGGTCTCCGCCTCATCGTTGGGCTTGTGGTCCACGGACAGGGCATGGACCATCCCGGAAACACAGGCTATGGCCCGCGAATCGCCCGCATTGGCGCAGTACAGGCGCCGCTCGCGAATGAGCACCACCACGGCAGTGGATCCTGCACTCTGCTCCCCAAAGGACCCGTTGTGAAGCATCTCGCGATCGAAGTCGAGGAAGGCCCTCTTCAAGGCCATCTCCACGCCATTGTCCCTGTACTCCGGCCTCTTGGTCACGAACTTGTGCAGATGTTTGCCGGCAAACTTGGCCACCGCCGCTCCACCGTGCCCATCGTAGACGGCGAAGAAGGCCGCCTGCGGATCCTCCGGCAGGGCCAGAATGTGGGTGTGGGCATCCTCCATCTCCACGCGCCATCCCTGCATGCAACTGGATCCCACACGGTATGCAGCATTCCCACAGCAGGCCGAGTCCTTCGTGGTCACCGGTTCCGACAGCGTCTGGCCCATAATGAACTTAAGGAAGGAGTAAGCCATCGCCCAAGCAACTTCGCCGGATACTCACTCTGGTGTCTCTATATTGGTCACTGTGTCTCTCGATCCCTGCTGGGCTTGGCTTAGCTTACAGTCCTCTATTTTAGCTGCAGGAGTAAATAAGTCTAGTCTGTCTGGGATCGCCCAAACGGTGTTTTGGAATTTAGACGACTGACTCGGCAGGGCCTACCTTTGAACCAGCTGGGTCACACTCCCCTACTTAATAAAAAGCAGTCTTCGATTTCATTTTTAAATTTTTTGTTTTGTATTTGTTATTTGTTGTCGTTTTTTGTTTCTCGTTCTTTTTTGTTCTTTTCTTTTGTATGTTTTTTTATAATTTTGTTTACTTTGATAGCGTTTGCTTTCATATACACAAATACATTTAAGTATATAATGGTACACGCATATCGCGCTTATTAAATCTTGATCAATTCATATATAGACATTTATTTGTAATTGTTTGTTGTGGCTGTAGATTACTACACGTTTATCCTTTTAGGCATATGTACGAGAGTATGTAATAATCATAATTTATATGCATCTGCATCTGTGAGTTGGTGTATCTGCCTCTTTTCTCTATCTGTATCTTTGTCTGCCTTTGTGTGAGTTTCACAATTCTTAATTATTTCATTTTGTATATATTCTCTTTAAAGTGTAAAGACACTAAATTTCACAATGTTCGATTTCTCTTCCTCCAAAGTCTACAGAGGGACATCCCTAGGCCCCAAAGTTCCCAAAGACATGGGTCTCTGGAGGGGTATCTAAGCCAGAACTAGCCGAAAATCATTTGGGGGACTAAAGTTGGTTAGTCGTGTGGCGTGTGTGTGTGTCTGAGTATGTAAATAAATTACGAAAATGTTTGGGCTTATTTGTATCATGTATGTATATAATTTCTATATCGATATAGACGTATTATAAAATCTCTAAACAGCCATAAAAGTCAAAAGTTCTTAATCATATCTATCAATTATCTAGACGCGTTTACACTGCCACTAAGTTGACGTAACTTGAGTTAATCTGTATCATTATCGTTATAATTATCTGTATTTCTTACTTAATTGCTGCCTAACTCTCGTGAAATCGGAACTCGATTGTTATAGGTTTATCTGTTGGTTAGGGAGGGAACTCTATACATAAATACAAACGTTGCGGCTCATTGTTTCGTTTAGTTTGATTGGATTTGGATTTGGGTTTGCTTCGGTTTGGTCTCGAGACTTTTAATTCAATTTTATTTACTATAGCTACGATTACTTGTTATTGATAAATTAGCTGGCCTCCTAATCTGCTTGGGGCCCCTCAAAAAGGTACGCATATCCGATTAAGACAGAAAGATATACTTATTACTTCGCGTATATATATTTTGATTCGCATCTAACGCTAGTATCGATAGCTTATCAAGTACAATGCTAAATGTATCGGTGTGCTTGGTTTTTGATATAAGTTTGAATTTCATTTCCGTTTCTTTCGCTTTCGATTTCCTTAATCCTAAATAAGAGAGGACACCAAGTAAAAACATTCAGTACACATTCATAGAGATACTAGTAGAATACAAAAAAGTCGATTGAGTACGTTTAGAACTTTGTGTGGTTGAGTGTTGGTGAATATTTCATGACGTGATGTTGGGTCGACTTTGACTAATCAAGTGTAGGTTAATTTTTTGTAAAGTGTTGCTGAGTTGAGTGTTGGTGAAGACTTAATAAAGTGTTGGTGAACTTGTTGTAAGCGTTGGTAAGATTTTAATATTTCTTTTAGTTTTTTCCAAAAAGCTTTAAAATGTATGAGTAGATGGTGAATTCATGAGTATTGTTGCAGTGTTGGTGAAACCTAGTAAGGTTGTTTATTAGTGTTGGTATAGGTGTTGGTGAGTGTTTTTTTGACATCTAGAAGCTTGGTTGGTGAGTTGACTTTGACGACAGGACGGGTCAAGGTCAAATCTCTTCGTTGGCGATCGAAAACATTAATATGTTGCGGGTTGCGTTCTTGGGACAGGAGCTTCTGGTTCCACTTTACCCGGCAATTCGTTGTTGTCTAACCCAGGGATCCCTTAATCAAATCTGAGGTCGGGGATTCGTAATCGTGCTACTAGGTACTAAGGGAGTCAATGTCGTACATATGAATATGACTTGGTGCCCACGCAAAACAAACCCTATATCTATATCCTAGTGGAGTGTTGAGTGATTCAGTATGTTGATGAGTGGGGTGTACGCGCACTTTGATTATCCGTCTTTGGTTTACTTCCCTTTACTTCGTAATCGAATGCAAAGCCTGGCCTCTAATCGCTCCTTTGCTAAACATATCTATATCTGTATATGGATATCGTAGTCTCTACTCGAGTTCGTATATAAAAATATTTAAATTCTTTAATCTGAAACGCGCAACGGCCCAAAGTGCGGACTGCCTCCGCTATAAGTACATCTATGTTTCGTATATGTCATATATAAAAAGCAAATCCCATAAAAGTGCTCTCTGATCTATTAAAACATATATTGTTTCGATTACGTTTTCATCACCCAATGACTCCGTTTCGCTCTGGCATTTACAATTTGTCGCTTGTGTTGAAATCAGCAAAAAGGTACGATCATTTTAAATTCAATATCTTTACCGTTAGCTGTATATGTCTTAGCGTGTATAATGTCTATGAGTATGATCTCAGCTCTAGCTGCTATTTATCATATTTCGTGTATATATATAACGTATATTTTTGTCTGTTGTTTGGTTTTTCTTTAGGTAGGAAATATGCTAGTCTTATAAATTTCGTACATCAACATTTCGGTTATCGTTAATATCTCTCCTCTTGCATAGGAAATAATTTCTTAGTTTATAAAATATATCCGCATATATATTCATAGATTAAACTGTGGTAATCTGTGTGTGTTAAAAACATCTAATGTCGATCCGAACCACAATTTGTTTAAGAGAGTTTTAGAAAGTTCTTCAAGTGAAGGAAACACGAAGAGTATATCATAATCGTAATTAAGTTACTGGTAGCCTACTAAGTCGGTATTATCCGCATCCGTATCATTATGCTATCATTAATTGGAGAGGGCCCCTGCTAATTGTTTGGATCTCGCTCCAGCTGTCCCAAGTGCGTGTTTCAGTTGTTCAGGTCCAGCTCAAACGAAAGAAATCTAATTATGGACGGGTTCTTATCAATCTTGTTTGTCAACTTCGCTATTCTCCCTCTAGCCCTATCTGATCAATGCAGATTGGTTTGAAATTTCTAATTCCGGTTCCGGTTCGGCTTCGGTTTCGCTTGCTCTGTTTTGGTAAATGCAAAAAAAAATATCTTAACTTTCCGGTAAAAGCTCATCAATTGTTGGTCAATCAAACAACTTCGTGGGGATGGTTCAATGTTCAAAGTTCAAAGTTCGAGGGGTGTTGCGGGGCGGGGTGTGGCGTGCGAAATCAATCTATAATCTGCAGAAACCTGGTTGGTCTTTAACTAAATCTAAATCAGCTGAAGCTAGCCTTTTTTTTTGGGGGAACTACTTGGTGCTCCCCTAACCCTAAAATTAAATTGTTTGCACAATTGCTTTGACTGGCTAATCGTTATCGATATTATTGCACAATAACTACGATTATTATTAAGTTCTTTCACTAATCGTTTAAACTTAAAAATTATTTACTCCTTTGTAATTTGGTGGGATATATGTTGTATTTGTTGTTGTTCATCATCATCATCTCCGTTTGTTTTTGATTAATTTGTCTTAAAAGCACTAAGAAATAAAATAACAAACCAAAGAACTAAAGAAAAACGAAAATTACTATATCTGTTTATATATATTTACGATTTCTGTATTTTGTAGGACATAAGTAAATATAAGCATATATAATTGTGGTAATAGTAAGCAATATATGTGGTATATGTTGTGGCTATGTTCCATTATTAAACAAAGTTAAGCAAAGAAACAAAGTAAATTAAAAGTAAATTTAAATGGTTAAAATAGTAAAGTAAAGGCAACACATCCTCAATATGATTAAACAAGTACATATGAAATATTGTAGTAAACACCGATTAGCAATTAACGCTTTATAGTATCGTATATCATCATATTTTTGTCGGAAATCGAGAGGACGACGAGTACAAATATTAAGGCTACACAGTTAAAACATTTCTCATTTAAATATATACGTATATTAGAGTGTTTGTGTGGATCTCTCCGTTTTTCACCACCTCAGAATCCCTCTTAATTACAAATCCTCCAACAGTGGGCCACAAAAGTCTGCGAACGACCGAGGCCCAGCTGCCTGCTTGTTGAGTGTGAGTTTGTTTAATATAAGTTTAATTTGTTTGTTTGTTTTCTCTTTAAATATAAATGTAATTTGTTGTTTGTTAATATAAATTTAATTTGTCGTTTAATATAAATTTAATTTGTTTGTTTGTTGTTTTCATAAGTCTATTAACGTTTCGTTTTTGTTACATTTAAAGCGTTCTTGATTTGTTTTCTTGTTTTTCCCATTTTAGCTTTCTTTTTGATGCTCCTAAACATTGAGTAGAAAGTGAAGAAAAGTTCGTCTGCCCTCGCAGATATTTAGCATATACGTTTATAATATAAGTTTGCACACTGAGTGAGTGCAGGACAAGAAACACAAATCGGAAACACAGATCGCAACTTTCCGCTGACATGCTAAACGGTCACACAGCTGTTTTTATTCAATATCCATGCTTATTTGACTATATACTTTAGTTGAATGGTCCATAAAATTTCTATAAAAAAAGAACTTGTTGAATACATCTATGTCTATTATCTAGATAAGTTTCTCTCGACTTTAAACAAGTATGCCGAGCTGTTGTTTCTTTTTTCTTTTCGTTTATTGTTTATTACAATTACAATTGTTAGCTGCTGGTTGCCGTTATTGTTTATACACAAAATATATCCATAATATAAATGTACTCGAACCACGTCTAGATCTAGTTCACTATATGTTCTGTTTGTATTTACTCGTATATATTCACAACACTAACGTTTCTTAAATACGCCTATGAATTCTATTTGCTTCATCCTTTTCCTACTACAAAAAGTGTTATTTTTCGGTTGTTAAAAAGTTAATTACTTGGTTAAAAAAACGATTTGTTGTCGTGCTAACGCTATTGAATCCTGCACACTAATTAGTTAACATATAGATGCATATTCCGTATCCGTATCGCAAATGGTTAATTATAATTTTAGGTAATTTCTATTCGCCGATGACGGCGACTGACAAAAAAC